AGCACACAACAGTTTTTCATCATTATGTAATCAAACGCTCTAAATCACACTTCTCAGTTCTAAGAACACTGTTGTAACAAAGTGGGGAAGTGTGTCAAATGCTAATTATAGAACTTGGTGTCTAGCTGGGGTGACGGTGGATAAGGGGAAGGAAGGGAGGGGGTAGGCCCATTGTTTTCGGCCCAGACTCTGACAGCCGAGAGCCTATCGCTCCTCGTTATTATTCTCCATATATCTTCAGTAGACGATTCCTCTTTTCGCCGGCTAGACCCATATGGGCCAGGTACGTTATTAGTGGGGAGAAAGCGATGAATAGTCACTTAACAGGAACTATAGGAGGCTAACAATTCAATAAACAAAAAAGATTAGTGCCATGCTGACAATAAATTTTCTGATGATAGTTAGAGAAAGGCTGAATGATAAGTAGGCCTACGTGTAATTGCTGATAAAATATTTCATACATTTGTGCTGCTCAAGACTCAATACAGTCTCATTACTGATTTTGTTAGCAACACGGAGGCCAGTTCGGCAATCAAGGGATGTTATATTCGTTCTTAGGGCAGTCGATGGGTTTGTCCTGCGGAGTGACGTTATCGCTGTACCCGCTGTGTTCATTTGTTCTCGTACGAAGTTCCGCGACGTGACGGCTTGACGGGAGACGATTAAAGTTACGAGCGGGTGCGATAAACAAAGGTGAAGGAATAGGCTCTATCACGACAAAACAGCAGTGAATCCTACTTGTCTATTTGAACGCTTTCAAATCGGCAAGGTGCTTTTTGAATGTTGATACTTTTTTTATTCGGATTTACTTAAAACTGAATAAAAATCATTATCAGCAATAAATCTCTGGTCAGCAGTCCAGCTGGCAAAAATTTGTGCCGGTCTTGCCCAGTTAACAAACCGCCCCTGTGTATGTGTAATTTTGTCAGATTATGGATGCATCATGATTATGATATTATGCATTTGAAAATATGTTTGAAAGCCTACATTAAATGGGCAAATTTGCATGAAACATGCTATTGTGTAAGCTGTCGATTTTTTTTTTTTATCTTTCTTTTTGTGAAACATCTAGAGCCATCAAGGAGTGGGCAATGTTATGGAAGTGTTCTTTATTACTGTTATCATTACACTGGTCTACACATTTTCCAAAAAGGTTCTGCATCAGCTATCAAACATTACTTTTTATTTGGATTTTGGGACGCTGAACACGAAACTTATAGCGTAATTTGTCGTTAAGTCAAGTTTTTTTGTTTTTTTTGGGCTTTCATATTTTACAAATACCGTCGAACCTGTGTAAGACGGCCACCAATAATTGTCAAGGAGAAAATTGGCCGTATAAGAGCTTCAGCCGTCATACGCAGAACTGATCAAAATGAAGAAAAACCATCTGTGAGGTCCCAACTGGAGGCAGTCATAGGCTTTAAACTGCCGTAGAGCTCATTAAAATTTTGCTGCTGCTGCTGCTGTTGTTGTTGCTGTTTCTTTTGAAAATGGGGAGGGGGGGGGGGGGATGGAGAAGATAAAAAACTTTTTTGTAGTACTGCTGCTGCTGCTGCTTTATCATAATCATATTAATCATAATCATTATTATTATTATTATTATTATTATTATTATTATTATTATTAATTATTTTTATTATTTTTAAATTTGTATTACGAAATAGGAAAACCCTTTTAGCATTTCATTAGCGGTTCCATTGTTTCCTTTCTTTTCACCATATCTAGGAACTTTGGCTACACGTTGTGCCTTTCGAGGTCTACCCGATGACCCCTGGGGTCACCACGATCAGTCAGAGCTGCCTCCAGGGGAAGGCTTCAAGGAGTGTCCGTGGGGCTGCTGTTGGGAGCAAAAATATGACATCTGTTGTTCTTTTCCGTGAGTATTTCTCACTTTTACACTTACATGTTACATTTATTGTATGCACATTGACCAGGATAAACAGATAGATAGATAGATAGATAGATAGATAGATAGATAGATAGATAGATAGATAGATAGATAGATAGATAGATAGATAGATAGATAGATAGATAGATAGATAGATAGATAGATAGATAGATAGATAGATAGACAGATAGATAAACTGACAGAGAAAGATATAAAGATAGAGAACAGACAGAGAGAGAGAGAAGGGGGGGGGGTGTAAGCATCATTGCTGTTTCAGCTACTGCTGTTGCTATTATCATTGCCTTGCTGATGCTGCTATTTATTGTTTTGCACACGTTGCTATCTTTGTTTTACTAGTGTCGCTACCACTGCTATTACTAACTGCTGCAACTGATGTTGTCTTTGCCATTGCTGAAGCTGTAGTTGCTACTGCTGGTGTTCTTCTGCTACTACTACTAATGCTGCAGCAACAAAGTGTGTGTGATCGACGTTGGCCTTTTTGAACTCTTATATTTTTCGATGGCTGCTTTCGTCCTGGTTGAACAAGAAAGGGAAGGGACAAAGAAGTAATCTTAGAGCGTGCACTTGGTGCATGTATTGGGGACTATTTCTGATTTCTTAGTAAATAGTCGTTTAAAACCAGTTAACACGCTCTGTTAAAGCAAGGATAGAAGCAGGAGAAGACCACGTAAACGTTGGCTATGTGATTATAAAAAATCAAATTGCATCGAAAAAGAATAATACACAACTGTATACATGTAACAATAACAGAAACCACCCACGTAGCCCTCGATCGAAAGATGCACCTTCTCTCATAATCTAACAATTCAAGGGTAGATAAAGTAAAGTTAATTTTTTTAAAGCACGGACTGAGGAAGAAAGAGCCTGTGGGGGGAAGGAGTGGGACATCACCGGTTTTATTATTTTATTTTATTTTATTTTTTATTTTTTATTTTTTTATTTTATTTTATTTTTTATTTTTATTTTTTTTTTGGGGGGGGCGGGTGAGGGGGTGTTTTACGTAGTATGAACAAGCGGAACACATTGGGCATTTTCAAAATGGAAGAAATTGGCGTTGAAAGAAGACGACAGAACATGGCTGGAGAGCATGGAAAGAGATGAAAAGCGAAAACTTTAGAGAAGAAAATATAATTGTCCGTCGGTGTCAGGTTTTGAACCTGGGACGTATAGAATGAGAGGCAAACACCGTACCTCTAGACCATGAGAGACCCCTCATCAACGGATGAATACGACCATGGGGACAACTGGTGAATGCTGAGGTAATGCTGTGAACATTTCTGAGTATTCTTAAAGGTGGGCCTGCTGGAGTAATAATAGTTAAAAGGGCACAGAGCACGCTGTAGAGCGTGTATATACGCTATATTATAGTTGCAAAAATTATAATGATTAATACCAATTTAATATATTTGTGCCGGTATAAGACGATGCCTGATGACAACTCACGATGTCACCAGTGTGCTGGTGTAAAAGTCGTAATTATGGATCTTTGTTATAAATCACGTATTCAGTACTGACCGCAATTACTTGATTGCCTTTAGGAAAGTCTTTAAAAATCAATAACTGGACCCTTGTGTCTGTTTTAATGTCTCATTGCGATGTCTACATGATTAATTAAACAGAGCCGGTCGACTCAGCTGTATCAGATCGCAACCGAAACGAATTGAGAGTAATCTGTAGAACCAGGCGAAGATTCCATTCCGGAACCGATTACTGCGATTATTGCTTCGGAGGGAAATACCGATTTATTTACGCGAACCAACGGTTACCCATTACTTTTTTTTTTTTTTAAGAATTAATTCTATTCACTTTTTTTTTTGTAATGGTGCCTCACCATGTTCCGAAATCAATATCCTTAAGCTGTTCGGGGCTGCTTATGTAACCGGTAATTGGCTACAGGTGTTGGAATCGTCGGAGGCAATCATGGACTCGCAGGAAGTTGTCACTATACTACTTGCCAGAAGTAATTAAATAGGCTTATTGTCTTGGGATCTGAATCGACGGATGTCACTTCTACTCTCCAAAAGTTATTAAATAATTGTCTTAGGGTCAAAGGCACCAGTAAAAACCATGTATTCCTCGGAAGAAATCATATGAGTGGAAAATAATTGGGTTTGGATTCGAATCCAACGATTCCTAACTTTCAAGAATCGGGAGTATGAGGTCACTGAACAAAATAAAAACGGAACCGCCCACCTCTAGTAATCTGTACCTGATTGCAGGGAACCTTGTGACGCTCGTCAGCTTGGGTGTGGGATATGGGAATAATGACGCATTATGGGGCCAATTTGAGTATGAAAGTAAATCACCGAAAACCAGATTAACAGCCAAGCTGTTTTCCATTAGCACTCAGTACATAATGTATCACAGGTATCGGTGTCTGTGGTGGAGACGTAAGATAATCACTGTCGCACGCAGGAAACCTGATTCAATTTCCCTGGCATAAGTAGCATTATAAAATAATATTGTTTGATGTACCGAACGTTCTGAGAAGGCCAATAACCTGGACAGAAGTAATGTACCACGAAAAACTTAAACAATACATTTTCATTGACTTGCTATACCATCATAAACCCGAAGTCTCGATTTTTTCCCCAACTTTTAGACCCACATCTGAAACAGACATAGCACAGCATTATACGCCAACTATTTCTCTGCCCAGTTGCTATGGGATAAAAAACATAAAAATTCAAAGACAATGTCATTTAGGTAGTTTCATTTTGTCTCTCAGTTTATGTTGTCTAAATCTTTCCCCGTAGATCTATGCAAATTGAGATATAGATGGCCAAATTATGAAAAAAAGCAAAATTATGAAAAAATTATGCAAGTTACCGTAACACCATTCGCGATATGTTTGGCACTTTTTCAACACGAATTTTCATGATTTTCATGTTTTATGTACAGAAAAATTGAAAACAGAAAATATCAGTACCAGTAATTCGTTGTGTCTTTGGAAGAAAACAGTACACATCAGTAAGAAGAAAACAAAACAAAAATATAATCTCTGTAACTTTCAGCTGTAGATCTAGATTTATAGGGGAAAGAAAAATGTAAAAAAAAGGACATCTCGACCTCTGATGCTGGTACATTACTAAAACCAGGGATACCTGTCAAATATGAAACATCAGCAGACATGAGAACAACAACTTTTGAAGGATTGAAAAATTGAACATGCACAAGGAACACAATCCCAACCCATAGCCAAGATCTTCTAACAAGGGACACAGCCAACATTTTAATTAAATGAGACTTATTACGGCGATTACTTCCCTTTAGTAACATGGCGAGGCGTTAATTGATTGTTTTGGGAAAAAAAGGAAAAAACGTGGACAAAAAGACCGCGGGGAATCCAAAATTATGCAAATGTTGCAGAATTACGCGAAAAAACGCGACTGCGCCGCGGCTGCATATATTACATAATCCAACGGGAACAGCTGAATAGGATTTTCATGGTCCTTTCCGTCTCTTTTCTATTTGAACGTTGAGTAACAACTTAACCCTTAAGTAGATCTAAAGACTGTTTGGGGCACATTATTTTTTAAAGGAATGAAGGAAAAGTTAGATATATCTGTAAAGTAAAATATGGACGAACACTTTTCAAAGGTTAATTCCCTTTCTACTTCTTTGGCAATGTTCCCATGGTTACGAGATTAGAGGTCATGTCATCATACACGAAAATATACTTGTAAAATATTATTCACCTTTGTCTTTAGCACCACCATGATTATTCGTTTATTACTGTTGTTATTCATGCTCTTATTATTGTTATTATCATTATTACAATTACTTTTATTGTTGTTGATGATGTTTTTTATATGGTAATAAGGATGGTGTTGCTGTTGTTGTAATATGCCTAACTTTTATTCTCAGTTTCACGGACAGCAATCAAGACTCCTCAAGTAATGTGTTTTGTCTTTGCTTCAATTCCATTCTCAGCATGGAGGTGATTATCATGGGAGTAGTTGCAGTCCTTCTGCTCATCGTTGTCGTCGCTGCTGTAGTCACCGTTGTCTGCTGTCTGGCTATAAAGAGACGAGATGTCCTCCAGGAGAGTTGTCTAGGTGATTACTTTGTTTGGTTTGGTTTTTGATATTTTTGTGTGCGTGTTTTTTGTTTGTTCTTTTTGTTGTTTTTTAGGGGGGGGAGGGGGTTGTAGCGTACTTTTCAAACGTGTTATTGACCATGTCTCTTCTTTGGACTATATGAAGGTGGTCAGAGGATATGTTTATAGTATTTCGATTTTCTGTCAAGACGCTAAAACAATTTCCACTTAGATAGGCTGTGTCATCCTTATGGCCGGCTTAATACTCTGAGCGTTTTGGGTTTAAAAAAAAATATTTTGTTACTTTTATATTACAACAAACCCTGTCAACATCGATGAATGGATGAGACTGCAATTATTTATATATATATATATATATATATATATATATATATATATATATATATATATATATATCCCGAATAAAGTGTAAACACAATACTATTGTACTTCTTCACATTCCATCTTGTTCCATCTCACCTCCATAATATACCTGTCTCATCTCATCATCTGTTGATTTCAGGAAAACCAATTTGTTGCTATGGAAACGATCCTGTTCGTATCGCCAACACGGGAGTATCGTCACGCCCACAGTGCCAGCAAGAACCTGCCAGTACCTGTGAGAGTACAGATTACGATCCAGAGATTGCGTATGGGGTATATGACAATCGTGTCGTGTGCTCCTGACGTAGGCTTATGACCGTAATGAAGAAAAGGATTAGGCGTTTCTTCTGTGACCTATTTTCTGGCTATTCCACATTAACTGACCGGACATTAGGACTATATTTTCTTACAATGATAACGTGTAATTCAGTGTCAATAAATTTATGTCAACTTTAAATGATCAGAACATTTGAAAGACACATTAAGAATCATATGAAATGCAGTCATTTGAAAAAAAAGTACTTTCTGCAAATTCTGTGACGTGTTTAGTTTTGGTAACTGACGGTACAGAACAAATACCTCAATTGTCTCGTCAGTTATTGTGGAATAGCCCTTTCTTCAGTGCAGAGTAAAACAATTTTATTGCGCACTGTCATCATTTTGTTTCTTCAACGTTCTGAAAAGGTTACAGAAATTCCACTTCATCCTTAATATTATTATTTGCTGTCACTAGGACCCAAAATGAAACTGGGCGCCTGTACTACGATCAAAAACGTAAAGCCTATACTCTACCCCAGATAGCTGTCCCCAAATAAACACGGGCACCTCCTTGAAATGCTTTTGTTCAACAAACAGAAAACAAGGGGCTCAAACATCTCGCTATTGTCCTATTCCAATCGTTTTCGGTCAGCGCATGTCGCGTCGTTTGCTTTGACCTGGATAAATAAAAAAATGCTCAAGTTCAAGTCTGAACCTTAACATATTATATTCTTAAGTTCAAGGTTGGACAATGACAGATGCGCTAAAATTCAACTTTCAACCTTGAAAGATACGCTTAAGTTCAAATCTGAACGTTGACAGATTCGCTTAAGTTCAAGTTAGCACCTTGACAAATATGCTTAAGTTCAAGGTTTGAAATCGAAAGTTAAAACATCTTTAAATCTTCCAGGAATACTGTTGTTGCCTCTTTTTTGTTTTTGTTTTTGTCTTTTATTATTTAAGAAAAAAAAAATTCAGTTTTTTACAGACACCATGACCAAATAAATGTATAATTAACCCTTTTTCTAGACATTATTATTTTGCCCTCAAATTCAAATGCTTTTAAAAGATTTCAAAAATCATTCATTTTGTATGGTTTTAGAAAAATAATATATATTTTATGTAAACCTTTATCATGGTTGATTTGACCACCACGATTTATTGGAGCAGGCAACAGCGACAAGTGATTTTTGTTTTCATGTAGAAAAAAAAGCATAAAAGAATTAATTGATAAATAATATAACAGTCGCCGATTTATTCAACGTTTTTAATCGCACGAATTTGACTCTGGGCCTTCAAATCGAGCAGTAGTGGGCAAAAAAATGCCTAGATCTAGTTACCTAAGGCACACGCCATGGGTCTACATAGCACTGTTCTTGTCATCGATTCAGTGCAAATCTCTCAGGAAATAGGTAGCGGTAAAGCCAAATCTCCCTCCCCCTCCCTCACGTCTCCACGCATCAGCACTTTCACAGCCTACTCTTTATTAATTTTTACAGATGCTTGTTAAGATCTGGCACCTAGTTTTTATTTTAATCAGGACGAAAAATCTCGGAGGGCTCGTATGCAGCATTACCACCCTGGCATAATTTAAAATTCTAAAAAGCCCTACCGTAAAGATTAACAGGATCATATAGATGAATAGTAAGGCAAATCCTTACTGCCCCCCCCCCCCACCCCCTTTTATTCCAAACTATTGAATCTGTCATTCTTTTGGATCATATCAAGGGAGTGAAGTAATACTTGGACAATCTGCTCCCTCCATGTCTATCGCTCAAGCAAAGCTCTATCATTCATATTGCTTTAGTCACTATTGATATCGATGGACAGCGCTCATATTACCTTATGCAGTTGCGAGCGCCGTAAAACCTTACTAATAGTAAAACAGGAGAATCACGGAGACATAGTTGCAACCCCAGTGTAAATACCACACCCCCGTGCCCCCACCTTTCCCTTTTACGATCACTGTGGCTGTTGCGATATTACACACGACGTGAAGCAGTTCGAAATGAGGAGGAAAGACATTTTACTTTGACCAGGAATATGTACTGCCAAGAAAAGTGTTAGTAATGCGGCCAAGTTTTGATCTCGGCGTAGAGTTTATCCCCAGGACAGAGCGTGGACTTCATGTCTCGGTGTCCCCTCAGGGTGTAGTTGGTGGCGATCTTGCCTGAGTCCACGCCGCACTTGATCAAAGCCTTCACAGAGTCCATCTGGGCTTTTGTGGGGAGGTGAGTCATGAAGTTTCCAGACAGGCAAAACCCTGAGAACAAAATTCATCTTTCACGAAATACTGAACTAACAAAAAAGTGGTTGAGTCAATAATATGTCAGTATACTCATTACGCGCATTGGTTCATTAAATACTCATGCTATTTACCTGAAATGCTTGATTCAATTCGTTTTCCTATGGATTTTTCCAGTCTAATTTGAAATGTCTTTATTTAATTAGTGTTAGGGACTAAGGATGGACGCGGGGTGTGCGCGTATGTGTTTTGTTTTGTTTTTGTGGATGGAGGGTGTTTTGACTTTTGAGGGGGGGAGGTGTTGTTGTTGTTGTTCAATCTCAGAATGTTTCGAGGCTTTGGGTTTGTTGTTTTGATTTGTTTGGAATTGACGGATTAAAAAAAAAATTCAGAAGTGGGGATAGGTTATCATTATTTTCTTTTTATTATTCCCGACGCAAATGAAAGTGATAGTAAAACAGAACAGAGGTAAAAAAAATAAAGACCATACTTGAGCGGCCGTCAGCCATGAACAAATGAATGCCCAGCTTTGGTTAGCCCCGTAAAGCAGGGTCGAAGTAGCCGAACCCCTACAATATAATCTAAATTGTGTCCATGGGACTGATATACGATCATTCGTAATAACGTTGTTTATTTGTTTTTTCACTGATGTCATTTTCATTGTTCCTATTGTTATTTTCCATACTGCTGCTCATTGTCCAGCTGGTTTTGTACCCATCTGTGTGGATAATTATTATATGTGTTTATCAGAAGGACAATGACAACCTCGTCAGAGAAGTTTGTATTTTTATTGACGAAATTAGTCGCGAGCGGCTTGATTAACTAAATTTGAAATTTTACATTACGACGGGTCAATTCAAGAAACTCGAATGCCACATTTGTCCAAGAACGAGTATTGTTTTTGAAATTTTATTTGTACTTCTTTACAGCCTGATCCTCACATCGAATAGATATGTGACTGGGAAAAATTTGCGGCAACATAGAAGCAAAACAAGTCGAGTTTACACAAATGAGGCACATGAGTTTCTTGAATTGAACCGTCGGTAAGTGGTTTGAGGAATACTGGCCCTGTTTTCATAATGCTCACAGCTATGTACTCACCTAAACCTACAGTGTTATAGCCCAGGGTATGAGCACCAACTTTATCCCAGCCGCGTCCTTCAAAGATGTCGCCATTACCGCCCACCATAAAACTGTAGCCGACGTCATTCCATCCTGGGAGAGTCAGAAACATTGTTTTTAAAAGGCAAAGATTGAACATCTTGTTTGGCATCAAAGCATAACAATATAAGTTTGCTTTATAACAAGTAAGGCCCCAAAATGGAATATGGTATAACTATTTTCGTTTATGAAAAGTATAATAATAAATGAAATACGAATTATGTGTTGCTTGTAACTGTTGCTTGTATAAAATATGATATTATTATAGTAACCTACGGGGACGGGTTGATATTGTTCTTCACTACAGTGTTTTTGTCCCGTACCTAGCAATGTTTCCATACGATTAGCTAGAAGCATTAAGTAAATCAAACGTATTTTAGTAATACATTTGATAACAATCATGTTTGAGATTAAAAAGAAGACATTAGTCTTAGTATGCCAAATCAAAATATTGAATCAAAAGAATGGGCCAAAATAATCACGTCACCACAGATAGCTAGCCGTTTTCTTTTCATGAAAAACCTAACTGCGACTCCTCTGTGAGCTCAAAGGCGACCTCTGATATTTGGATGAGGCAAAGCCGTTGGAAATAGGGGAATATACTTTTTTACCTTTATTAAAAGGCATTGTTACCTCTGTCGTCCATGTGGTAGTTCTGATATCCTCGAACTGTTCTCGAGCAATTGGCCCTGGAAAAACACTCGCCCCCGGCCGAATGGTGGATGAAGGCGTACTTCACAGGTTGATGGGAGAGGTAGGACACAGCTTTTGGAGCTCTGGCGCCCCATTCTGTTCGGCTCACAATGGAAGGACACGCCCCTGGACATTGGTACAAAGAGTGATAAATAAAGGGTTGCATTTTGTTTCCGCTTATTCATGTTGTTGTTGGTTGTTTTAGTTCGTTTGTTTGTTTGTTTGTTTTTGAGGAGGGTTATTTTGTGTTTTCTTTTCTTTTTGGTCCGGTGTCTCGTTTTGTATGTTCTGTAGTGTACAAATTGTTTGCTTCAAGAAAAACAAAACGAGAAAAAATGGCGGATATTCGAGGAAAGACTGATCAATAAAGGATTACATTTTGTTCTGTGTCATTCACAATTTGTATAGTGTTTAAATGTTTAAAAAACGAGGAAAATTGAAAGGCTAACAAGATTAGACTAAAAAGGAGGCTTTGTGATTCATTTTGACTCGGAAATGGAAAGAGGGCATCGTGTTTGTTTGCTATTTCGTTTTGATTTTGTGAGTTAGTTGTTATTTCTTAGTACATGTATTCAGTTTGTTCTTTTTAAAATATATATTTTTATTCGTGGGATGGTCGTTGAGGTTATATCTATCTTTTTCTTCGCAAGGGCCTGGGTTGTATGTAAATACTCTGTCTTACCTCTGAACTAACATGCACATACTCGTACACTCACACACAAACACACACACACACACACACACACACACACACACACACACACACACACACACACTCACACACGCACACACGCATGCACATACTCCTTTCCGTACGTGTATCCCCTCCATTTGTTTTTTTTGTTTTTTTCTTTTTTTTCTGTCCTACAGTAAATGACCGTTACTATGTCGATGCACGCCTCTCTGCTCAAACTATTAGTCCATGCCAACAGTCCTCCTTTATAGGCGATGCTCCCTGGAGGATAGATTCGATTCGATTCGGTTCCGCTCGGGTCGGTTTCTGGCGGCTTCTGTGCACTCACAACATATCGACAAAGAGATCTGATCGCCCGACTTGCAGCCTTGGTGGGTTTTATTTAAGGGTGACCTTATTTAGGCCACATTGTGGGCTAAATAAGCTAGACCCCCCCCCCTCCCTTACCTTATTTAGGCCACATATGGTCCAAATAAGCTAAACTCCCCACCCTTATCTTATTTAGGCCACATGAAATGGTAGATTTCTTGAGGGTAACCATGGATTCGGAAGGTTGAGATTCTACCTGATCTTTTTATTTAGTGCGGGGGATTATTTCAAAATAGAGGATGATACTAAAGGAAAAGTGGACCAAGGGTAAGAGTTGTGTGTGTGTGTGTGTATGTGTGTGTGTGTGTGTGTGTGTGTGTGTGTGTGTGTGTGTGTGTGAGAGAGTGTGTGTGTGTGAGTGTGTATGTGTTTGTTTTGTGTGTGGTTGTGGTGAGAGAGAGAGATCTAGAGAGAGAGAGAGAGTAAATGTAATAGTGTGTTTGTATTTGTGTGTGTGTGTGTGTGTGTGTGTGTGTGTGTGTCATGTGTGAATGTTATTGTGTGCATGAGTGTCTATCTCAGTTGTACGATCCAAAGGTACATTATTTTGTTGAGAATTTTACATAGAGCTCTACTACAAAACACCTTTATACAAAGTCACAGAAATATTCTTTTTGTGCTTATTGAGGTACAGTACAGGGTGATTTTACCTGCAAGGATAATTGGACAAAATGGGCAATATCTTTATAATGCTAATACTAATGGTCATATTTAGACAAATCCTATATCATTCTCTTTTTTTTTCTTAACAGCTCATGGTTATTAAAGAGTAAGCTTAATTTCGGATTCCCAATATTATGGACATTCTCAAAATTTTAAAACTTGTTTTTAGCGTTTTTCTCAAAATAAAACGGATTTCGTTAAAAAAAACTCAACAACAATGACCTTATCTTTCTTTTTCAAGGTTTTGTGCATACATTTGTGTGAAACTATTATATTCTATGCTTTCAAGTACATGAAAAAAGCTAATAAAGTCAAGCAAAATGTTCGTTAGAGACATAGATCTAGTATAAGGCCCTCTGGAACATTTTATAAACCGTGAAAAGATGACCAGATAATAACAAAATTATCTTATGATCTTCACTTGCACTTGCAATTTTTTTGACAAATGATAGTCTACCTCATTATCTTTTTTTTTCACTTTTTTCTTCACTATTCATGACAACTGGCATATTTTTCAGTTATTATCAAGAAAGTGGATAGGCGGACCACGGGGTCTATCTAGCCCCAAAAGGATAGGTGGACCCCGGTCTACCTAACAAAATGCTAGGTTTTAGGATGTAAACCCCTGAGTCAGTGTAGTGAAATTAGTAGATCTAGGTTTAACTAAGGATCGGTGGACCCCGGGGGTCAACATAGTGAAATAAGTAGATCTCACATTTATTTTATAGTAGGACTGGCGGAGCCAGTGGTCAACGTAGTGAAATTATAAGTAGATCTAGGTTTAATAAGGATTGGTGGACCCCGTGGTCCACGTAGTGAAATCTGTAGATCTAGGTTTAATTAAGGATTGGTGGACCCTGGGGTCAACGTAGTGAAATAAGTACATGTAGATCTAGGTTTAATTTTAAGGATTGGTGGACCCTGGAGTCAACGTAGTGAACAAGGTAGGTTTAAGGTGGACCCCAGGGTCTACCTAACGAAATAGTAGTTAGGTTTTAGAATAGGTGGACCGTGCGGTCACCGTAATAAAATAAGTAGGTTTAATCACGGTGTCCCGGGGGTCCACCAATCCTTAATTAAACCTTCTTATTCCTCTACGGCTATGGTGACTCCGGGGTCCACCAACCCTTTAAAAATTAAACCTACTTATAAACTACGATGACCCCGGGGTCCACTGGTCTTTAAAGAAACCTACTTATTTCACTACGGTGACCCCTGGGTCCACCGATCTTTAAAGAAACCTACTTATTTCACTACGATGATCCTGGGGTCCACCTGTCCTAAAACCTAGTATTTCGCTAGGTAGACCCCGGGGTCCACTTTAAACCTGCTTATTTATCACTACGTTGACCCCAGGGTAAACCAATCCTTACTTAAACCAAACCTTATTTCACTACGGTGACTCCGGGGTTCAGATCCTAAAACCTAGTATTTCGCTATGCAGACCCCGGAGTCCACCTATCCTCTACAGGACTATACTATTATCAATTTGCAATTTTCATTGATTAGCATTTTTTTTAAAATATTGAATCACTGCTAATGCTATTCTTATCAAAGAAAAGGCACAATTTTGACTTTATGACATGTTAAAAAAGAAGAGTTTTAAAGATATCCAGAAAATAACATAAAATGATTATATAGATCTAGATCTATGCATATTTTATTATGTATATATACTTAAAAGTAAAAGACTGAGCAGAGGCTTACAGTGTAAATTCTGTGCTCTCAAGTAGAGAAAGTCTTAAGTTTGCGCAAAACAGATTTTAGAAAAAAAAATGGGATCTAATATTATTATTCTAATAAAAGTAAAAGTTATTGTTATGGTGAGATTTGTTATTATTAACTCTGGAAATACAGATAGTTGCTGAATCTAAAATTAACTAGAACTGTGCAAGTCGTTTTATTTCAATTCCAAAGCCCAAAGGCATAGCAATTAGTTAGAGATCTAGATCTGGCAGTTGTAGGCTCTCTGGCTGCTTCTAGCATAGACCTGCTACTACTGATTCTAGACCCGGAATCTAGATCTAGCTATCACCTGCACTATTTAAGTCAAATATGGTAAAATAAAAACAAAACTGTGAATCGCTTTGTCAGTCAGTACATCCCAATTGCCATAGCCGCACGTATTAATAGTTGAATAATGCGATACCGAGGCAACACGTTATCACAGTGTGCAGGAGAGAGCAGGGTGCCCCGGTCGCTGACCGGTCGATTCGATGGTTCGGCTTTTATAGATCTATGCATTTTTTACGGAAAGCCCTATTACTAGATCTATTAGTGTTGTGAAAACTTCAACCTCTACAGCTCAGGCATCAAAAGATGTTGGAAGATAATAATACGTCCTGAAGTTTCATAATTTATACAGAATAACACAGTCAGTAGTTTTTATTTCATCATTTTTTAAATATTTCATCGAGTTATAAAAATGGCCTTGTAACTTGTTTTCAGAAGCAAATTTTAATAGTTCCAGTTCTACCGAATCGATTTTCACGCAAATTCAACCATTTTGATGATCTTTCTTTTCCTTTTAAAAAGATGTAGGCCTGTCGGATGTGGCAGTGCGATTAACACTAAGTTGTTTAGACCCATCAAAACATGAGGCTTCGTGGCCGATCACAAAGGTCTAAGGGGCTTATCGAGGCCGATTCGCCCTGCCGCGTGCACGTTCACTAAACTGCCTACTAGATAGAATCTACTACCAAAGATTCTCTACACGATCTTTGCTACTACTACTACTACTACTAGATCTACATGTACTACTACGAGACAGTACGAGAGAGTGCCACCCAGGCAAAGATAGTGTAACTTTGACTCTGCCACGTTGTGTACACACTTTTTATACCCCAAATTTGACCCGGAAGTCCATTCGGAGGATTTGACCTTTTCACTTGACCAAAGTCGGCCAAAATGGTAGCCTAGATTTTGCCCCTCCATGAAGGAAAAATCTGGCCCTCATTCAAATCATCAGGATTGAGCAAAATTTTGCGTATCGTGCTTTGTTCTTACAATATTCATTATGATTATATATAAGTTGTACACTGAGACAAAACTGTAGCCTACTAAATGAGAAAGGTGCACCATTATGAAAGTGGAACGAACTTAGTTGCCTGAAAAGGATGTCCCCGGTAGTTTGAGCATGTGTGGCCTAAATATGCTAACCCCCCCTCCCTTACCTTATTTAGGCCATATGTGGCCTAAATAAGCACTCCCTTTTTTTAATTAAGGTGGGGGGAGTCTACACCTGAAGGCTATCTCGCTTATTAGTTTGCCAAATTTTACGAAATTTCACATACATTTATATAGGCCTATATATAACAAGCACGATAAGGAGTCTTAAAATATGCAATCAAAATTTTTTTTTAAGTTTCATTTCCATGGATACGGTGGCCATATTGGATTTTTTAAACATGTCTTACGTAATTAATACCACACTTATTGCTTATGGAAATAGATTGTTTTTGTGCATGCGTGTTAACAAACAGTAGATCTAAAAATTTATTCGTCTGTTGTTTTTTTCCTAAACGAATTAAAAATATTTAATGAATTTTTTCCTGAGGTAGTATTCAAGTTTGCAAAAAATCCGTGAAAATCCACACTCCAGACACCACCAACAAAAAACCCCAACACATATTCCATGTATCAAAAATTCAACAGACAAACTTTTAGTATTACGTCTTCTCTTCATTGGATGAAAAATGGTGGAGCTTTTAAAAAAAGTATAGAGAAAAATCGCGTTTTGAGAAAAAGGCCAATAAAAAAAAATATTGACTTCATTAGAAAATAGTGGTGACAAATGCCTGGCATGTGAAGAAATGAGGATTTTGCGGGATATTATGCAATGAAATAGTTGTAGGAGACGATGAGGAAGCTAAAAATGCCTACAAATCAAATTCTATAACTTTTAGTTTGAGCCGAATCGGGACTTTGGGGGTGTACCCCCCCCCCCCCAACTAAGATTTTTGTTCGATTTTGTTTTGCCACTATGGTGGTAGCTTTTGCTCCCCCGTGGGACAAAAATCTGGCTAACCGCGACGCCTAAACCAAACCGAACCGATCCAAACCGAACCGGTCCTGTCAGAGGGCATGGCATTTCATTTTAGAACGGAAATTCAGGTCACAGCAAGTCACGACGACCAGTTCCTCTGCACTTTTATTCAAGACACGAGTTGTCGGGCAAAGTTTCAGTTGCGTAAGACTGCTGTCACAATCAAAGATAAGGTAAACAATACCACTGGAAAAAGACATTAGTCACGATTATTGAGATAAAATATCCGAAACTGGCCCTGCAGCATTTTAAATGTTTGTCTGTTTATATTTTATTCTTTTAGTTTGCTCCATTTTGCTTATCAAGATTTTCTTGTCTAAATCAGAAAGCAGTGGCATCGGATGGGTTGTAAAGAGTGGGGGCTTTGCGGTGACCAAATATTGAGATTATTCAGATTATAAACAATGCATAATAACTTAAAACACATTGAAATAGGCTAATAAAAAAACATTAAATAGAAATAGATTCAAAATTATTACAATCTTGTTGGTGGCAATAATATCACGTTTGAAACCAAGAAAATGGATTCGTGTATATGATTTATGTCCTTCAGTGTTTATTTTGACCACATTTGCGGATGTCTTTTTTGTTGAACAGACCATCCTTAATGGTGAACCACTATGATGAAAATATATCTTTTCATCCGGAACAGAATGTGAAAATTCTGCTTTTTAATGTTGTTCCAGCCTCTTGACAGTGAGCCTAGCTAAACTAAAGGAAATTTCCCAAAAGTATTCTAGATCAACACGATACATTGCTGCTTTGAAGAACAAACATTAGATTCCAATTCAAAATTTCCTCAACTCACTGATTACAACGGCGCTTGCTTCATTGCTTGTCTGATCCCCACACACAGAACACAAGTGAACACAATACACACACAAGAGATTACAATAAGTTAACTTAACTGGCTGAAAACTTCATTGACGTGTCCACTCCCAATCTTAGCCAATTGGCATTATCATTAGTTTAGTAACACGGTTTCAACTAAAGAACACACAGAGAGCCGGGGAAAAGGAAGGCGAGAGGTTGGGCGGGGG